TTGGAACAAAGCAGTTTTAGTATAGTAGGGGTACTGTTAAATGAATACCAACTAACACTGACCCTAACACTAACCCGCCTATACTATAGGACATTCAAGGAAATTAACTAGGAATTTCTTTCCAAATCTCGCAGCCGACGAGATGGTGTGAAAAAGCTAAAAGAACCTATATAATTTCTATCTTTTTGGAAACGCTTTCTTTATTATTCTTTTCATAAAATTAAAACAACTTTTCCCATCTGTTTTCCATATATTCAAAACATGTTTATATTTGAAAGTGTTCTTATATTAGCTGGTCTAATTGAAAATGGTAGGGGCTTTGGTAGGGGCTTTATCAGGGTTTTATATAATTGAGGGAATCATCAAGTCAGAATCCGGTCCTTGTTACTGTTGACGTTAGCGCTAAGTGGCTCTATTAACTGCTGTAGTTTCAATACTGACTCCTTTAACTTCAGGCCCTTGGTAATGTCACAAATAACTTGTTTCTCTTTACAGATCGCCAAGATTAAAGAAGAGGACGAGTGTGTTGTCAGCTTCTAAAATCAGGAAGTACTTAAAGTTGGCGGACATCAGACTGGCGTGAAAGCTCCAAAAGGGAAATAAGTGAGGTCAAACATTGGAGGGCATTTGAATATCTCCTGTTTTAATGAAAACACAGCCAAGCACTCATGTTTGCTGAATTAGTATGCTACTGTTTGGCAGGAAAACACTGAAGGATAATTCAAATAGTTTCCAATAACAACTTAACAGCGTGGCACAGGTGAACATTTCAATTCAGCCTTTGAAGCCAGCAACTGAAGGAAAGGCAAATTTATATTTGGCATTATTTCCTGCTAAAAACACGGCCAAGTTTCAGCATACATGTATCCCATAAAAAAGAGGCCAGATATCTACTGTTGGCCCCAGCATATTCACAACACATGGCTGCTTCCATTCTCTTGCGTGTTCCATCTGATCTGTGTCATCCTCACGAAAGCCGACTGCCTTCTTCCACAGTGCTTGATCACTAACACCAGCAGGGGCTTCCATCGAGTCACCAGTTGTATTATGGAATCAGTCTCAGAGGCAACAATGAGGCGCTTCAAACACACCCTGTCTGTGTCACTTCTGCTTATACTCATATTTACCGCCAACGCTGTTCGCGGTTGTATCGCCTGCGCGGATTTTAGTCCCTCAGAACGCTACGGAATGTTTTTAAGCATTATTTTGTACCTCATGCAACTTACAGTATTATTTCCACTTCCATTTTTTATCTTTAATTTCCTTGGCGTTGTTTTACTGAACGTCTTCCTACAGCGTCCTAAACTACAAAGGTCACCTTTGCTGGGACCTTTCATATCCTTCCGCGTGGTAACCAGGGGACTTTTTCCAGAGTTAGTCAATGAGAATGTTCGGCAAAATTTACAAATATGTGAACAGATAGGGTTACATAGTTACATATTCGAGGTCGTAACCGACATTCCACTTAATCTACAAGCTGGCAACCGATGTCGAGAGATTGTTGTGCCGCCTTTCTACCAGACGCCCAGTGGTTCACTTTTCAAAGCTAGGGCACTCCAATACGCCCTTGAACCCGAGGTCAACATCCTTGGCCCTGGAGATTGGATTGTACATCTGGATGAGGAGACTGTACTAACCGAAGAGGCTGTTATAGGAATCGTTAACTTTACCGGATCCGGTGAGTATTCATTTGGACAAGGCGTCATCACTTACGGAAAGGGAAAAGTGGTCAACTGGATAACAACGCTAGCGGATTCCATCAGGGTGGGCATTGATTACGGATGTCTTCGGTTCAGTCTTGGCGTTTTACACAAACCTGTGTTTAGTTGGAAAGGTTCATTCATTGTTGCAGACGCAGAAGCAGAAATGAACACCTCTTTCGATCACGGACCCGACGCTTCGTATGCTGAAGATTGCTACTTTGCCTGCATAGCATTCAGCAAAGGCTACAAGTTTGGCTTTATTGAAGGAGACATGTTGGAAAAGAGTACGTTCACTGTGAAAGATTTTATCCAACAGCGTCGGCGCTGGATGCATGGCATTCTGTTAACAGCCCTCAGCAAGAAAATCCCGCTCCGATACAAAGTGGGTCCGATCCTAATGAGCTTCTCAGGCTGTGCCATGCCGCTAAACATGCTCCTGTTTCCACTGGGCATGATCTGGCCAATGCCGATGTCTCCATTCATCGCTGCAGTTTACAGCTTCATCATCGGCACCATCATCTATCTCTTCATCCTGGGAACCTTGCAGACATTTTGCGTCCAGCAGCATGGCGTTGTCAAATGTTGCCTTCTGACTGTGGCCACAATCTTGTGTGGACTTATAGCATGCGTTCTAGAGAATATTGCATCCATCCTGGTGTTTTGGACTCCACGAGTTTCCATAAAGACCTTCTACGTGGTGAACAAGGAAGTCCAAAGTGAATATGTAAAAGTTGTATGATAGTCTAGCATTATGGTTAATAATAGTATTAAATTATAATTTCCAGTGAAGTCTACAGTGAATGTATTAATAATCCAGTATTTTATTTAATCATCATCATCATCATCATCTAGAAGGTCCTTTGCTGAACGTCTCTCTCATCACGGTCTGCCTGAAAGAAACTCGGTTTCTCGCCAGTTCTCCCGCCTCATGTACTTTCATACTCAAGGAGTCACTTATATCCTGTGCCCATCTTCGTGTTGGTCGGCTCCTGCCCCTCCTTCCTGATACCATGCCTTCTGCTTTTTTTTTCCATCCGTCGTGGCGCTTGATCTGACCAAAATATTTCAGCGTCTCAGACAGAGGGTGCTGTTTATGAGCCAATCTTCCTTGATGTTCAGATCTTTCAAGATGTCAGTATTTCTCCTTTTTTTTTTTTTTTTTTTTTTTTTTGTCCAAGATATTCATTTTATTTAATACTAATGTTAAATTATGATTTTCATGCAAGTCCAAAGGGAATTTGTTTAATCAAATGTCAAAGTCTAACATTTAATTAATAATGACATTGACATTATATTTCCATGAAAGTCCAACGTCAGTATAATGATGCCATAAAAGATATCAATAAAAACGCAAAGTAGAGTTCAGCTCCACAATATCACAATCATAAAGGAGCCATGAACGTTGCTGCCAGAAAGCCTTCACTAGCTATTACATAAACAGACACTGTTGCAAACAAGAACACACAAAATAACTTATATAAAACGGTATTAACTAAGCCTACAGTACCTACCAGGTAGACGGGCGGAGACACCGAGGGTGGCAGTTTGTGGGGGAATTTATTGATAGTCTACTATTTTAGTGCAGGACCTGCCCTGGTCTAGCGGCTAGACGCTCGCCTGCGAATCAGAAGATCGTGCGTTCGAGTCCTGATAGAGGCCGGACATTTTTCAAAAATTATTTTGGCTTCCATGTTGACCCAGCCTTGAGTGGGTACCAGCTACAGTCCTGTGAAATAAAGGCGGCCGGCGTGATGCTGGCCACATTTCCCACCAAGTGCTGTTTGGTCTATAAAATATAGGTTTAGCCCTATATACCCAATACACCTGAAAGCGTGGAAAAGGGTCCTTTACTTACTGTCTTAGGAGCGGCTGGCTGGCCGAGTGGTTACAACGTCGGACTATCATGCGGAAGCCCCGGGTTTGACCCACAGTAAGGTGATGGAGTTTTTCTGTCAGTGGCACATCCTAACCTGTACAGTTTGTGGCGACAGCACTAGTCATGCCGCCCTAAATCCTTGGGTTCGCTACTCTACGTCGCCCTAACAAGTAGTAAAACAGAATGTAGTGACAGGTAGTTTTTTTTTTAAACAGTTTTAGCTAAGCATGCTGACTTTTTCAGCTCTAGACTGATGTTTTTTTTTTTTTCACTTTAATTTTCCTAATAAATTGTACTTCAACTGTCTCCATCCTTATGAGTTGTTTCTTCAACTATTTCCATCTAATCAGTTGTTACTTTAACTATTTCCATTTAATGAGTTGTTACTTGATTATTTCCGTCAAATGAGTTGTTATTTCAACTATCTTTATCCTAATGAGTAGCTACTTCAACTATCTCCATCTAATCAGTTGTTACTTTAACTGTCTCTATCCTAATAAATTGTTACTTTAACTGTCTGTATCCTAATAAATTGTTACTTCAACTGTCTCTAAACAAATGTTACATCAAGTGTATCTACCCTAATAGGTCGTTACTTCAACTGTCTCTAAACAAATGTTACATCAAGTGTATCTACCCTAATAGGTCGTTACTTCAACTGTCTCTAAACAAATGTTACATCAAGTGTATCTACCCTAATAGGTCGTTACTTCAACTGTCTCTAAACAAATGTTACATCAAGTGTATCTACCCTAATAGGTCGTTACTTCAACTGTCTCTATCCGAATACACTATAACTCTAACTGCCTCTGTCCGAATAAGTTGTTTTTGCTAACTATTACTATCCTAAGTATCTGTTGTTTCAATTTTCTTTATGCTGTTGTTACTTTTAGCTTTCTCTATCCTTATTGTTTTTAAAGTCCATGCCATGTGGCTTTAGCAGTCATGTCTATCCACAACCTTCTGTCTCCTGCACTTTCAATCAGCTTTGACACAGATGATCCTGCGTGCAATGATGTCAAAATCTCCAGCAGGTACAGGTAATTAACAGCTTGATAGATTGACTGCTGCTGCTCCTCTGGGTGGTGAGCTACTTTATGATAAAGCGGATATGATAAATGCTCTCTAGGATCAGATAAACAAGGCCATAGATCGGACAGAGCATCTATACATCAAGAGACTGATTCCACGGGAGTCTGTGCGGTGTTCAACAGCCAAGGGAAAAGACAAGCTGACTTGTAATTAATCACTTTGCAGCTGACAGCATTAGTGTAGAATCTCTTCGTTGGCTGCTGGGGACAAGGACGGAGCATGTGTGGGAATATCTTGAGTGCAGCTACGCCAATTCTTTATTCATTCATTCCTGGAGTAGTAGTAGTAGTAGTAGTAGTAGTAGTAGTAGTAGTAGTAGTAGTAGTAGTAGTAGTAGTAGTAGTAGTAGTAGTAATATTAGTATTAGTCATATTAGTAGTAGGAGCAGTAGTAGTAGTAATAGCAGCAGCAAGACTACAACCAACAACAATAATGTCGATAATAGCATCAGCAGTAGCTGAAATAGTTGCACTAGAGGTAGTAGTAGTAGTAGCAGCAGCAGCAGTAGTAGTTGTAGCATATCAGCAGCAACACTAACTCCAACACCAATAATGGCAGCAACAGCTGCAGCAGTACTGAGCAATACAGTTAGCTAAGTATGTTTGACATTAAGTTGCAGGACCAACCACAATGTTTTTTGACTGGTTTTACTTGCCAATTGTATGTTCAGTAATTCTAATTTCATCAGTTCCTGTTAAGCCTATCCACGTTATAATTGGGATATGTAGAGTTGCGTGTTATTTTTCACTATTTCATGGCTTATGTATTAATTGTGTAAGACTTAAGGAGTATAAATTGGTATGTTTGATATATTTTAATTGTAATTTTAAAAAGTTATAGTAATTGTGTAGTTAGTCTTTTGGTATCAAAGAAACGAATTATTCCTAAATGTGTAATAAAAGTCAATGGTGTTATTTTAGGACAAGTACATAAATTTAAGTATCTGGGCACATGGATAACATCAGATGGTAGATGCATAACTGAGAAAAGAAACATAAAAGGACAGGCAAAAACTGCATTTTATAAAATGAAGAACATCTTGTGCAATATATCCTTGTCATTGAGAGTTAGAAAAATAATTCTTGCTTGCTACATACATCCAGTTTTAACATATGACTGTGAATCCTGGACAATCGGTCAAACAATTTCTTGAGGCCTCACAGATGATTTTTTTTACAGAAGAATGCTTAGAATACCTTGGACAGCCAAAAAGAGCAACTGAAAGGTTTTGAAAGAGTCAAGAGCCAGAAGACAATTTATCACAGACATCAGAAGGAGACAGTCATAATTTTTCGGCCATGTTATGAGAAGATGGAAAATAGAACATGTTGTGACCACTGGAAAGATCTGTGGAAAGAGGGAAAGAGGAAGACAATGAGAGAATATTCTTGACAATCTTGTTGCATGGCATGAAGGTGTGTCGGCACGCGAACTGATACATGCTGCAGGAGATCGTGGACTGTGAAGAGGCATGATCGCCAACACCAGTCGGCATGGCACCTGATGATGATGAGTCAGTCTTTGCGAATATGTAAAGTGACGATCTCATATGCTCTTGTGGTGAACTGTTTTCCTCCTTCCCTGTATTTCACAGTAGGGGTATGCATACTACGGCCCCTTGGCCACAACTGGCCCACTGAACAATTTTGGTCTGGTCCACGAGGCTTGTATAAAATTACTATATAATAAATGGCCATTTGGCGGGGGGGGGGGGGGGGTGAATCTTACAAACTAATTAAGTTAGCCTGCTGATTTAGAAGTTGGGAGTACATAGTACATCTTTATTAATAGGGCTGTGTTTAAAACTCTTTTCGTCTACAATGGAGGTGGAGGCAGTCACTGCTGCCTGCTGCTGACTTGATTATCAGTTGTACACACTTGCCATAATTATAACTGACTCACAGAGCATGTTGAGAAAAGGTCTGTCCGGTGCAGAGCAACATGCATCGCTTCAAAGGTCCCGGGTTCGATATTTTCTCCAGGTCACACCAGTGTTTAAGGAAACGAGCAGGTGGCCGTATCTGCATCATTCGATGTTGTAGGCACAACATGTGCCGAGGCACAAATAGATCATTGCGGTATAGCAATACGAGGAGTTAATAGGGAATCTGACCGACGCTCAGAACGCAAGGGAAATTCGAGACGGACATAGTCAGATAGTTACTTGAACCATTGGAATTGGCATTCTTTATTTGCTTCTGAATATTGGGATAGAGCGCTTATGTGAGTGTCCTGAGTGCTGTTATGTCGATTCCTAAATTCAACATTCAACATGTGGACTGTTGTTCGTCCATCTCTTGATGCTGTTCTCCCACTTGTATCGTTGCTAACCTCTTGCTATCTTGCCCTCGCCTTTCCTTCCGGTATAATTTTTAAAAGTGCATTATATCCTTTAATGTAGCAAAAGTATTTAAATTGTCTCTGGTTTATTTCTTTCAGTAATTCTCTTTTCATTCGTAGTCTTTCCAGAAACTCAGAATTGGATACTTTTTGCTTCCATGAAAAATCCACATTTCCATAAACTCGATTTGATTTTCTAGTTGCCTGTTGAATGTCTAAGTGTCTGCGCCATACAGCAATGTTTAGTATACATATTATTTGATGAAAGTATATAAGAAAGACTTAGAGCCCCGGGTAAGCCAAGAACAAAATGAAAAGACAACAACAGAAAAACTGCAACAAACAGTGTCAGGTTAACATGCTCAAGGCTAACAGAAGAGCAAGAACCACAACTCTTATCTTCCTCGACACCCACAGGCGGTGAAAGAAAA